CAGAAGAGAGGCACCTTACCTGTGTGGGTGTTCAAGTGGTTTCTAAGAAGCGTGACAGTCCTAAAGGCTCTGCCACACAGGTGACATTTGTGTGGCCTTTCGTCAGTGTGGCTCTTCATATGGCGGTCCAAGTTGGAGCGGCGAGGGCAAGTGTAGCTACAGAGCTCACACTGGAATGTCTTCTTCACTCCTGCAATCGGTGACACACGCAACAGAATTTATATGTAGGCAGGTTGAACTTCTTTCAGAAACCTGCCACTTTTAATTGTGAGCTCCGGGGCGCTGTAAATAAAAAGAACTATGCATGTTGCACTCTCAAATACAATTCAGCTTTGATTTTAATGTCCAGCAACTGTGCTTTAATGCAACTTTTATGTTCTGTACAAAAGGCTGCAATTTAATTCAAGGTGTCATTTAAAAAAAAAAATACTCAGCTGGCACATCCTTCAGCCTTACCTTTCTTTTTAATCTTGGTAGGTTTGGGAGGTTTCATATTGCCCACCACCTTCTCTGCGTTGACCTCGGACAGCAAGCCTTCCTGCTGCTCTTCCTCAAAGTCGTACACAGACACATCCATGTCCTTGCCCTCCTCCGTGTTGTAGCGCAGCTTGCTCTTCTTGACCTTCTTCACCTTCTTGACTGGGGGTTGGTAATCTGGATCCTTGGCCCAGGAGCTGTCTTCATTCTGTTGCTGCTGCTGCTGTTGCTGTTGTTGCTGCTGCTGGAGCTGCTGCTGCTGCTGCTGGAGCTCTTCCTGTTCCACAGTCTCCACCTCACCATTGGCACCCACTTTAACCACCTGGAAACCTTCAGGGAGGGGCAGTGTATGGCAGATGACTGGCTCGCCTTCCTTGGGCATGTTCTCATAAGTGCCCTGCAACTCATCCACAGTGGTAGTACTGACTGGCACTGACACAGGGACGGGGACCTGCACCAACTGCAGCTCACCCAGGTTGATGGGCTGCTCCTCCATGTTGACCACCTGAAGGGTGATGATCTGGGTGTCGTCCACAGTGGCCTCGCTGGCCTCCTGGTGCACTGCAGTTTCCATCACCTCCGTCTTCATCTGCAGCAACGTGGGGTCCAGCTGCTCCATCACCATCATCTCCACATTGCTGTTGACATTCACGTTAACGTTCACGTCCTGCACCATCTCCCCGTCCCCAGACTGCTGCTGTGGTGCCACCGGCTGCTGCTGCTCTTCTGCACCCCCGTCAGCCTGGCTGTGAATCAGCTCTGCGCCCTCCTCCTCTGTGCCCCCCTCACGTCTCCTGTGGTAGGTCTTTCGTTCCTTCCCCTTGGAGAAGGCATCGCCCTCATCCACGACTGGTTCAGTCGGTTCAGTTTCCATGGACATACCCTAGACAAACACAGACAGATCAGCACAAACGCCCAGGCAACCTTTTTGGGGTTCTAATGCAGCTGCAAAGCTTACTGACCACTCATAACAGAACGTGAAATCTAGAGATACGCATTTCTAAAGCAGTCAGTTTCATAATAGCCTTTTTAAATCTTAACAACATTTACCCTACAGAAACTTAAGCAAAAATGCAAACTATTGCATTAAAAAATTCTAACCAAATTCAAACACCGAAACTGACTCCATCACCAATGATCCTGCTGATCAGCTTCGATCTATCTTTAAAACAAATGTCACATGAATATCTGGAACCATATATGAAGTGTTCAATGGTCTATTTTCAAATACATGTTTTTTCCCCTTGAACTTGCAGACGTAATATTATGAAAGCTGAAAAAAGCACAACTAACATTTTCAAAAACTTCTCCCCCTTGAACATAAATTTAATCTATATTCTCATCATACTTATGCTATACTTAAGTTAATGGAGAATGATAATTAAAAACATTGATACGGTGAGATTTTAGTTTTATTCATTATCACCACCACATGCCACAAGACAGTGCATAATCTAACATTCCAGTAACCTAGAACAAGCCAAAATGTCCAGAAGCAACAACTGGGCTTTAAAATCACCTTAAGTATGCAAAATGTCTTAATTTCTTTCTCAAACATAATTAATGAAATAATACTGATTAAGGAAAATAACTGCATATTAAGGGATTTTCATATAACAACAAAAAAATGATAAAAGGCACAATTGTAGTAATTTTTCTAGAATTACCAGATATGCCTTTTGACAGCACATCTCATTTGCTTGATCTATGATGGAAATAAGTAGTGCACATGAACTACAGCGGGGCATAACGCAGAATTCTGGATACATTTTCCACAATGACAGCAAAGCCTCTTCACACAACACAATTACCGGCATGAAAGACGGAATGTCATTTCTGCGGTTAATGAAAAACGACAAACTTACTTCACCATGACCGAGCCAAGTCTAGCAGTCTCAGTCATATTACCACTGGCTCCAAGTAAAATTGATTCTTATCAGGGAGAGTTACAGCATAGTTCTATAGTGTCCCAGCTTCAAGAAAAAATTACCTGCACTACTAATGAAAACTTCATCTTTCTAGTTCTGTGGCTTGCTGGCTGACCTCAGCGTCTGTCGACAAATGCCTGCCTGAATACTGCCTGCTAGATAGCTACACTTCCACCTGCGAAGAAGAAGGGTGTTCAGACCGTTTCATTAAAAACTGTCATTTTTACCTCTGCTTTCCCTCACTTATCTTTAGTTTAGAAGGATTTAAAAACGGTAGCAGAACACAGCAGACCATCACTCTTAACATGTCATGCCTTATTTACAGTTCTGGTGGAGAGCTTGCATTGCTGTTGTCCTGTCTCGAACTGTAACACGCACTAGCAGAAACAGGTATTGTTAAATGCATTCCCACAGTTTGCAGTCTTGCCATTAGTGGGCACCACTCCTCTGACAGGGTGACTTCTATGTGTACGTACATAGCTGGAAACATCTATCTGCTTGCCTGCAGCGATTCCTGCTGTGAGACTCTCCAGGATTTCACAGCAGCTGTGAAGCTGTCCTATAACCATGATAGTTTGTCATGACCTTCGTCTATCTAATCGAACATAACCTGCCACCACGTGTGGTCTGTGACATTACTTTGCATGGTATTTGATGATGGGAAGGCCAATGACATGAAATCAACCCTGTTCAATGGTTTGTTTTTGAGTATCCTTTCAATAAAATTGGAGAGAAACCTTTACAAAAAAAGTTTATGGTCGTTTCTGGGTGATGCTACTTGGTAAAACCGGCACACACTTAACCATGACACATTGTGTCATGTATCACGGTTTCAGTGCCAATTAAGAATTTAAGTCTATCTCAATATATAGTCTATGACACATTTAATTGTCATGAAATAAAAAGCTCATTTATATCCAAGCAAAATGGCTTCCCAAAGGATGGTCAAATTCTTCCTTTGTAGTTATGTTTATACTCTTAACTGCTACTTAGTTTAAATAGCATGAGCAACATTCTTCAAAACCTCTTTTCATCAGTTTTATAGTACAAACAACATTCTAGACGTTTGTACTGTAGGTGTGCCAAACCATCTTTTGGCCAAAATTAAAATATTTACCAAAGCTTGCTATTTAAATGCTTAATGATTAATAACTGTATGCGGTTTATAGAGGTACTGAACTGTTATCACTTCAAACATCCAAAGATGTCTGGAGAGGTCTTATTTAGCAGTGCAAAACCACACTTCACTGATGGCACGATACTGTAAAATATATACCTTACCATATTTTGTTAAACATCGATTTTTTTCTTCCATGAAGATTATTATTCGGTAAAAGCGCATTGAGTATTCAGATGTGCTGTTAAGTGCACATAGTAGCATATGCACAATTTGGCGTAGGTGGCGGGTAATTTGATTGCGTGTGACCTAATAACTATAACAAGTTAAAGGAAGCTTTCAAGATAAGAATTTCAAATAAAAAACGAAGCACGTCCTACTTTTTTGAAAACGCGGAACGTACCTAATAATGAAAAAAGGGCTATTTATGACGGGTTTTTTTTTCAGAGGTTAGCACTTCGGACAGGAAATACGGCGTGCAGTGAGGAAGGATAAGTCTTTTAAATTAAACGCACGGCAAAAAAAAAAACCCAGCGAAATGGCAAACCGCAATTTTCTTCTTTGGCGAGCATGAGTCGAGATCCCCATTTATAGATCATGCTTATGTGCCAGGCGAATTGTAGAGGGAGCTCTCTACTGTTCACAACCCTTTCGCTGGGGGGAAAAGGTGGTGTGTTTGAATATCGTGAACGGTCAGTAGGCTGTCAGGACAACACGGCAGCCTAACTTTGGTAGGTGGAGGGAAAAAGCAGTAGGGATAACGTGTAACTAGCACAGGAGCGATCGGAGCGATGACATTACTTCTTTTTTTTTGCACATAGATATCTGATTCGGCAGGCGACATTAGTCTTCACCTTGCAAATATATATATACTTTCCCTCCCCTAAACCATATGGCTACTTATTTGTCTGGACAGCCAAAGATTTCGTAAGCGCTCGGATAATTTCCTGTTAGACTGCGGATCAGAAATACAAGTCTGTCTAAAGATACCGCAGCCTCCCCCGACTAGAACAGGAAGATTATGGGGGTGAATAACTACAGAAAACGGTTTCGCAGCCGCCGCCGCCGAAGAAGAACTCTTGGACCGACTTTGTTTTTCAATCAGGACGGCGGGGGGGGTTGGAGGATGGGTACCCGCAGAAATCCTAAACCAACGCAGGAAAAACCACCTTTCCGACGCCGGAATCGGTCGCTCGCCCGAGCCGAGGCCGAAATAATCCGCGCAAAAGCGGCGATTGAGTGTGTGTCGGTGTCGCCTTCTTCTCTGGAATCAGTTATCCCCACGAGCCGCGGGTTTCCCTCTCTCTCTCTAAAGAGGAAACAAAGAAAAAAAGAAAATGGACGCCTTGGCCTAAACATACCCCCAAAACAGCGAAGCCTTTCAAAATCCATCCATGGCAAAATATCCGTTCAATAGGACCTTAAAAGGCGAAATACTTGAACATTATCCCGAACTTCTGGGTTATAAATGTTTTTTTCCTAAATTTTCAATAACGATAGAGGGAGACAAACACCCCCCGCCAGCCGCCAGGACCAGGAGCCCCATCGTGACACCTAGAGGCCGAATAAAGCTCCTGCAAAAATCCCCCCTTTTTGGAAAAGTAACGCCGTTTTACCTGGATTTCTCGGTTTATTCTCTCCTAAAATTCGAGCGAAAGCCCAGGACCTGGTCTGGGTTCTGCCAGCGACGACGAAGAAATGCGCCCTTCTCCTACGGCCGTTTTAATCCTCTCCCGCTTTAGCAGAGTAGGCTCTGCACAAAATGGCGGCCTGGAGCTGGGGAGTGCGCCTGCGCGGCGCGGTTCGCCCAGGGCGGGGGGAGAGGGGAGGGGTGAGAACAGGGCATTGTGGGGATTGGCGGAGCAGGGCGCTACTTTTGAATTGGGGCGTCATGGCGTCATACCCTGGCTGCTCGAGAGCGGAGGGGAGGGCGGTGTCTGCCTTTCTCCGAGGCTGGCTCTGTATACAGTGTGGTGTTTGCTTGCGTGTCTCTTATACGGAGTCAAAAAGTTAGGACTGTACAAGCAGGTGTTTCTGAAAAGAAAACTTCCCAATTAAACCACGCTTTATATAAAACGTGTGTGTATGTGATTTAACCCCTTTTATTTTTATTTTTTTTATTTCTGGAAGATCCAAACCAAGTTGGTTTACAATTAGTATAAACACTCATATTCAGAGAAACAGAGAGCCCCGTCAAAGAAAATTGAAAGGGTTAATTGGGGGTACAAGGAAATGTGGGGTCCCCCTGGACAGTCTTGAGAACCCTGGTTGAAAATCCTCTTCATAACTAACTCAAGTCATCAACTGATTTGCATGGTAAATAAGGCTATTGTCATAATCATTCAAATAACATAACTGTTCGGAAAAAACATCTCTAATTACTCTCCCTTCTTACTGAAATGTATAACACGTGTAGATTGTACAAGCATGTGATCGGGAACAATACATAAACACTGTAATTAGTAGATCATTCTCTTTTAACATCTGTATAGGAGAAAGAGGAAAAAAACTCAAGAGCTAAAACAACTGTAAAGAAGGTCTTGACAGGAAAGATAAGACAAGCCACTGAAGATTCCTAAATGCATTTGTAGCATCTCCTACAACGCATAATGCAGTGCTGCAGTAATTAACAAAAACACAAGTGAACAAAAAACACCCATGTCAAATACATTTAATAATTTTCAGCACAGATATCAAACAAAATCATGGGAAATGTAACAAAAATACAGACAGTAATATCCTGTATATCCTCCCTGGGCATTAACACAATGCTGGCAGTGCTGACGCTTAGACCTGATCAGTCTCTGTACAGACTGCTGTGGGACATTGCACCACTCTTCCTGTGCAGCTGCAGCCAGCTGGTGCAGGATGGCCAGTCGTGGGCGTCTCCTGTTGATGGCACTGGCAAGCTGGTCCTACAAGTGCTGTACTGGACTGAAGACAGGTGATAAGGCTGGCCAGGGCAAGACCCCAACATTGCAGCCATGCCATTGTAATCCTGGCACTGTGAGGTCTGGCCCTGTCCTGCTGCAAATCGACTCATCTGGGTGGGCTTGTAAAAATACTCTTGGGAAAACTGTTGGCTCAAGGACTTTGTCAGTGTATCACTAAGCAGTGGGGTTGCTCCCTGTCTACACCAAAGGCAAAATCTTGTGTTAAAGGCAATTCCACGCTGCATCATCACAGCTCCATTGCCTGAGTGGTATGTTCGAATGATGCAGCAGCTTGCATTACTTTTGCCATGACTTCTTCCATCTGGTCTGTCGAGGGGAAATCAGCATTCGTCTGTGAATAAGACACTCTGCCACTCTCCGTGCTGCCTGCCCAGATCTTCTCTAGCTCACAGAAGACGGCAATTTTGTTACTCGTCTTAACAATACATCACTCCTTACTCCGGCCTCCAGGGACAGAGATCCTTTTCATGCGGACGGCGAGCTGCAGTCATTCTGCTGATACACGGGTTATTTCTTCCTGGAATGTCTTGGGCTGTTGCCACTGTAATCAAACAACGATTGGGTGAATGGATGAGACAGATGTGACTGTCCAGGCTCATGTGCCTTCCAGGATGTGGCCTGTCCCTCACAGAGTCAGTTTCCCAGCTTCCTAGTCTAGTGATTGTTAATGATAATAATTCCTGACACTTCTATAGCACTTTTTCTGCACACTCCACTCAAAGCGCTTGACAAGTAATGGGGACTCCCCTCCACCACCACCAGTTTGCAGACCCGCCCAGTACACCAGTGCACCAGTATGCTCACCACACATCAGCTATCAGTGGGGAGGAGAGCAGAGTGATGAAGACAATTTATAGATGGGGATTATTAGGATGCCATGATTGGTAAAGGCCAATGGGAAATTTGGCCAGGACACTGGGGTAACACCTCTACCCTTTTTGAGAAATGACTTTGGATTTTTAATGACCACGGAGAGTCAGGACCTCCGTTTTATGCCTCATCTGAAGGACAGCGCCTAGACTTATTGACAATGTAGTGACCCTGTCACTATACTGGGGCATCAGACCGCAGGTGAGCGCCCCCTACAGGTCCCAATAACTCCCCTTCAGCAGCAGCTTTAATTTTTCAAATTTTTCAAATCCTGTGGCTGGCAGAGGAATCCTACTCTATTGGGCCCCTGAGCAAGGCCCTTAACCCCAACTGCTCCAGAGGTGCTGTATACAGTAAATGGCTGACTCTGTGCTCTGACCCCCAGCTTCTCTCTCCCTGCCTGTGTGTCTCATGGACAGCAAGCTGGGGTCTGTGAAAAGACAAATTCCTAATGCAAGAAATTGTATATGGCCAATAAAGTGATCTGATCTTAATCAACTCAATTTGGTAGTTTTCAATCAAACAGAGCCTGATGAGCCTGATGAGCTCAGTATTAGGTTATGCTAAGGAGTAACACTCCTGAACGAATCAGCAAGTGTTTGAACTATGGATGGAAAACTGCTGAGTATTCGTTGTTCACCACCATATACATATGCTATTTTATTTCTCGATTGACATTCTTCTCATCTTTATACATGTGTAGCTTACTGCTGTCTGCGTGCGTGTGTATCAGTGACTGAACTCCGGTGCCAGTGATATCACTCCTGGTCTCCTCTAGGTTACCAGAAGGTTGTGCCCCCCAATCCACAACCCCCCGCCAGGGAGGAACAACATGGTCACATGTCATTTCTCCTCTCCATGCGTCCATGAGACAGACGGCACCCAGCAGGACTCATGACCCAACCTCACACCGACCGCCTGCACTAACAATCTACTGTCATATTTTACTAATCCTGCACTCTTTATGGTATTTGTTTTTTTGCCACATGCCATGTACTTTATTTGAAGTAACTGCCAATGATAGTAACAACGTCCCCCACAACAAACACTACAATTCTGCTCCCCTCATTCATACACAAATTATGGTACATCGCTGCATTTTTGGGGTGTGAAAAATGATTTCCTTGTTAAGAATATTAAATTTAGTACAGAGGAAATGATTACCCGGCAATATCATTCTAATACTACTATAAATCAGGTGCAATCCACAACAGTGTTTTCAAAACTAGTGATTTACTTCAACACTGACACTGTTTTAGCTGGCTTAGCATTTTCACAGCCAACACTGAAGTCAATTCAAATGCCAGGATCACGCAGCAAAAGACAACAGAGCCTACGTGATCAAAACATCCAGAAGAGCCTTTAAACGATCTTACACAGCCAACACTGAAGTCAATTCAAATGCCAGGATCACGCAGCAAAAGACAACAGAGCCTACGTGATCAAAACATCCAGAAGAGCCTTTAAACGATCTTAAACTCCAAGAAAATGTCACTATTGTTTCAGGAACAAGTAAAATACAAATTACTCCCCTAAGAACTAAAGTCAAAGATCTTACCTCGATCCCTTGACTGCTTAAGAGTAAAACAACTGCCCCCCTTCTAAGTAATACAATGCCTGTGTAGAAAAACCATCACAGAAAATGTTCAGAGAGGCACTTTTTTTTGTGTTTTAAATCTAAATCGGCCATACTGTCTTTGAAAGTAAATCTCTAATTGATAGGAACCAAGGAGGAAAACCGTGGAGTGAAAAACTGTGAAAACAGTTTTACATTAAAAACACTTTCAGTCTTATGACAGTTACGTTCCCTTACCTATCTGTTCATTTCTGGGCACTTCAAACAGATTCAATGGCAGATTGTCTCACTTATCACGTAATGCCCTATTTACAGCACTGCTGCAGAGTTTGCATTTTTTGTTCGTCTCTCTCAACCTGTAACATGTACTAGTTCCCATCCATCTATTTTCTAACTGCAGTCAGGGGGAGCCAGTGTCTATCCCTGCAGGCAGCGGGCGCAGGGCAGGGTACACCCTGGATAGCACACAGCGATGAACAAGACACGCACACACTCACACCAGGGCCAATTTTCCCAGAAGCCAATTAACCTCCTGTACGTTTTTGAAGTGTGGGAAGAAACCAGAGCACCTGGAGGAAACCCATGCAAACACAGGGAGAACATACAAACTCCACCCAGACAGCACCCCAGGTCTGCAATTGAACCTACGGTAGCAACGCTGGCCACTGTGCTGCCCCTAGCAGAAGCAGTTCTTGTACTAACATAGTTTGTAGATTTTGCCATTAGGAAAAACTCCTCTGACAGGGTGACTTCTATGTGTACGTACATAGCTGGCAACATCTATCTGCTTGCCTGCAGCGATTCCTGCTGTGAGACTCTCCAGGATTTCACAGCAGCTGTGAAGCTGTCCCATAACCATGATAGTTTGTCATGACCTTCGTCTATCTAATCTAACATAACCTGCCACCACATGGGGTCTGTGACATAACTGTGCATGGTATTTAATGATGGGAAGGCCAATGATATGAAGTTAACTCTGTTCAACGGTGTGTTTTTACTGTTTCCTTGGAATAAAACTTATTTTCTAAAAGAAACCTTTTAGAAAAATGCATGACGGTCATTTCTGGGCAATGTCAGATGGTGAAAGTGGCACAGATACACTGTACCAGGTATCAAAGCACGGGAGTTTCCAGCAGCACTAAATTAAAGGTCAATCTAGCTGCTTTTAAAGCACCCTTGCAAAACAACAGAAAATGTGCTCACAGTTCGTTTATAATTTAACCTGTACTCAACTGGCGAAACTGTAGATACAATCACTAACATACACCGATGAGGTAAATGAAGTAGGACCTGAGATCTGAACCCGGGCGTGAGTGGTGTAAAGTGAGAATCAGCTCACATTGTTTCGTGATCAGCTGAGGTTTAGTGTTTACAGTAACTGGGGAAACAACCGACCAAAAGCAAGTTTTAAAGGTGCGTCACGTCATTAAAAAAGTATCTGAGGTGTAAACAAGAGGTTTTAACGGGGATCTGGGTCAACGTGCGTGCTGAAAAGGAAGAGAATAAAAAGTTAAGGAAGACGTGAAAAAAACGCGTTAAATGTTGCCAATACATCAAGGCATCACCTCAGTTGCAATGCCTCGCATCAGAAAATAATGACGGGCTCGACATAACTGTATTTGAGCGTGCAGGATATTCCTGTAGATCACTTCTGCTATTGACTACACAATGATAGAAAACTCTTCTTTTTCAATCCGGACGGCGGGGTGGAGGATGGGTACCCGCAGAAATCCTAAACCAACGCAGAAAAAAAAAACACGAAGCAGAAACAATCCGTGCAAACTCGGCAATCGAGTGTGTCGGTGCCGCCTTCTTCTCTGAAACAAATTATACCCCTAAAGAGGAAACAAAAAAAAAAAGAAATGGGCGCCTGACCTAAACGTACCCCCAAAACAACGAAAATCCATCAATGGCAAAACACCCGTTAAATAGGACCTTAAAAGGCGAAATGCTTGAACATTAATCTTACATTATTTAATCAATTTCCATTTTTGAAAGAGGGAGGCAGAAGCAAGGAGCCCCGGCCGAATAAAGCTCCTGCAAAAAATCCTCCCTTTTGACAGGGTAGCGCCGTTTTGGCTGGACTTCTCCTTTTATTCTGCTCTAAAATTCAAGCGAAACTCTTGGGCCCTGCTTTTGAATCCTCTTTCGCTTTAACATTAAACCATGACTCCCAAACTTTTCCAGTCAGGGAAAACCGCAGGCTGTTTTCAACTCAGCGTCCTGACAATACAGACCCACCCCCTCTTCCGGGATTGCTTGACTGGAAACGTGCCCAGCTCTTGTCATTGGATGAATATGCCTGCGGCTCCTGCTTTGTGATTGGTTAGCGTACGATCACCCCGCCCCCTGTGTTTTTGAATTGGTTTTGTAGACTGGCGCGGTGTGTGAGGTACCCGCCAAAATGATTCAAACCCAAGGGGGCGGGGGGACGGGCGCACGTAAACCAATTGGCGTTGAGATACAGCTGGGCCGTTAAACCAATGAAAAGGAAGGGGCGTGTTTGTTTTGTCAAACGCTCCGAGTTCTCTTACCTTGACAGTTCATACAAAATGGCGGCCGTGGTTTGGGCAGTGCGGCTGCGTGGAGCGCCCAAAGCAATGCTTTCTATAGTT